AAGATCGATCTCGAAATATATCGAAATATTCATAATATAAAAAAGGAAAGAAAATCGATCTCGAAGGATATCGAAGTATATCGAATTATATCGAAATATTTTTGATATAAAAATGCGAAAGGAAATTGATCTCGAAATATCTCGAATGACCGTAAAGGTAAAACCCATAAGACGAAACCGATCCGCCACCATGACGTCAGCAAAATTTAAAAAATTCAACAGATCGTGAAAATTTGCGAATCATTGCGGAAACCAGGAGAGATGGAAAACTATTGCGAAAATTTAACTTGTGGGGAACGGTAAAATTTTGAAAATTCTAAAAATTTTAAACATCCCAAATGAATGCGTGTGCGAGGCACGCGCGGACGATCTCGTGTCAATAAAAGTGAAAGCCCCGAAAAAAATTTGAAACATCACGGGAATTTACGACACCAAACAAACGTTAAAGGAATCTCCACCTATTGTCATTAAAATTCCCCGAATGACAATTTTCACGCCCTCTAATAAATTCACAATCGACGTGACTAAAATGATAGCACTATTTCACTATATTTTTATTATTTATGTGTGCTGTAGATTTTCACGGTGTGAAGGGACTGTAGCCCAAGTGAATGGACGTGAATGCCCCTTTTTACACGTGCGTAGTACAATGAATGACAACATGAACGTATGTAACCACATTGCATCGGGTAAATCATGTTCGGTCATCCTCTAGCTATAAATTTATTTTTCGACAATGGGTGGCACGCGTTCGGGTCAGCAGAATCGATGTAGCACAACTCGGATTGCAGTCTCTATATTTTTTTTTAACGAGTGCTGGGGGGGCAGCCGGAAAATGCATTGCGACACTGCAAAAGTAGCCACCGTTTTACGAGCGACCAATAATAAGAGTTTTTTTATGCGATCGAATAAGAATGCCGTTTTTTTATTCACCACTCGAGGCAACGAAAATATTTTCAGTGAATGGGCGGAAAAATTGGGGTTCGGTACTTACGGTATCATTGAAATTCCGTGATTTTCGGAGGGATTTCCTTTCTCTTTTTTCTATTTTTATTAAACATTACATTACATTGACTAAAAATTATCCTTAAAAAATGGTGATTTTCGCTATAGAATCATTTGAAATTGAATTTTTGATAGGAAAAATCATCTCGAGTGATTATTCGGGCCCCCCAATTTTGACTGGAACAAATGAATATTATCTAAATCGCCATAATCACAACTTTTAGCTGATAATGATTGCCCCAGTACAGCAGGACGTAAACGATAAGATGCGTGAGTCGTCGGGTGTTTCCATTCGCGTGTCGTCCCACATACCACAGGCACGAGCCCCATCGCCCATTCCATCATTTAATTTTTCCTCTTCCACACGGGAGTGCCCCCGATGATGGGGCGTGCACTGGCTCGTGTAAATGAGCAACAATAAATTCCAACCGTTTTTCCATAACTCCACGTGAAATTTTACACTCTTGTTGATTCTATTTTATGAAAAATAATATAATTGACGCGTTATTCAACCCATTCCGGGTTTTATCGCAACAGCTCTCGCGTATCCCACGGTCCCTTACGCAATTCGTGGCCTTCCGCACTCGCTTCGGTACGTTTACTCCAGATTCGAGAATATATTCAAGTATAATAACGCCAATTCGAAAGGATAGATTACGGAGAGCCTGTGGAAGTTGTCTCATACATGGAAATATTCCAAACAACATTTATCGCGTTGTAATCGAATGCTCAATTGCTTCGAATGCAAAATTCTTCTCGATTATTTTATTGGTTGGTCTATTTTTTTTTGTTTCGTTTAAATTTTTCCATGTTCAGATACAATTGATTTAATTTCTCATTCAATTCAGATCAAAGCCAGGAAATTTTTGATGAATAGAATATGGAGTACTTGAAACGCGGATTAAATTCACATCGAATAAAACAATGTAATTGCTCTCTTTGTGCGTACATTTGTAATTGGATGAGTCCTGAAGGACTTTTCGACCACAATTGGCATCCACTCGTGGTAAAAAAGGGGCCGGGCCCCCGCCCTTTGTCAACCTACTTGGCTCGTCAGTGACAAAACGGTGGCTTCGAATGTGCATTTAGATTTTTATCGGGGGCATATGGCCTTAAAAAAAAGAGTAAAAAAATGGTTGAAAAAATAATTTCGTAACTCGAGTGGGGAAATTGAAGGAAATCGAGGATAATTGGAGCATCAAGAGGCAGATGTGTTTTTTCATATTGCATTATACATGCGGTGGTTGTATTTTTTTTAAAGATGACCATGGCCACTTCGACAACAAAAGAGCGTAAGCTGTATTGGCACGCAGGTGTT